AGAGAAATGGGAGAAAACAGCCAAATGCAGTGAGTCTTGAATGAAGAGAAGCATAGAGAGGGAGGGTTATGGAGGACTTGAAAGGTGCTCAGTGGGGATAGAAGCAAACCAACTCCACCACCTTTCCAACCACTGGGTCTGGGTGAGTGGGTCCAGAGGAGGCCTCCATAGGAAAGTGCTGCGGGGGAAGCAGAATCTGCTGCTTTAAACCAGGTTTCTGTAATTGCTAGTAGGTTAAGGGAGCAGGAGACAAAAAGGTCATGGACAGAGGTGAGCTTATTACAGACAGAGCGGGCATTCCAGAGTGCACATGAAAAACAGAGGGTGGTGTTTGGGAGCATGGGGACTGACATTAAATTGAGGGGATTGCGGCTATACCTGGAGGAAAGAGGGTGCCTGGTGTGGGGGTGAGATAGTGGAGGACCAGGGTTCAGGGAGATATCCCCAGGAGGTTAGGAGAAGAAGGGTGAGGAAAGTAACATGGGAGCAGGATGTATATGAGTGCACATGCCTTCCTGTCCTGGTGTTTGGGTCAGCAGGTGAGTAAAGTATCAGCAGGAGGTGATGAGAGCTGTAGTAGGGAGATGATAGGAGTGAGGGTGACATGTATAAGCTTTGGGGTGGAGCAGAGGGGTAAAGAAATGAGATTTTGGGAACACAGGATAGTAATCTGAAAAGGGGGAGTAGAGCTGGCATTATAAAAGGTAGATGGAGTGGGACTCAGGCTTGTAAGAGATGTTTCCCAGGGTGTTTGCTTGCAGTCCATCCAGCGTGTGGTAGAGTTCTTTGTCTTCCTGCTGCTTGAGTTATCCTGCTTTAGTTCAACTGCTGTGTTCAACTCATCTTCACACTCCAGCATAAACCACACTCATGCAGAGAACTGCACCCCATCTGTGACCCCCCGCCCCCCCAAACCATAACCCCCGTCTGTGATTTCCCCCACCCATCTTTCTTGCCTATATCTGCCCACAGCCGGTCAAGTTTGCTAAAGCGGGCATTCAGTCACATAGGTGAGTTTGACCCAACAAACCTGAATAGCCATGTAAGCAGTGTAAACACCCACCTCCGCTTACATCCAGTTCCCCATGGGGATTGTAGTCCAGTTTTGATCCGTCTGACCACAGGTCAAAACAGACTGATGGAATGCCTGTGTGAGAGGGGTCTAAATGTTGTATGATAAATTTTACCTAATTATTTCATTGTCTATTCTCCAGATGGGGCTATGCTGATTGTTTTGAAAAGAAAAAAAAATTGTGGTGTGAATATTTGAGTGGATGTTATCCATACATAAATTGCACCATCAGAAAAAAATGCCTTTTTAAAAATAGAATACTTGCTTTCAACTTTTTTTTATACTGCGTTGTATATCAGCGCTGCTTATCTCCTTCAGCCTCGTTGCAACCACTCTATGTCGTTATGCAATGCATGGTGTTTCCCAGAGTGGTTTCTTGACGGTGACTGCAATGCACTGTGCCTGCATAATGTGTGTTTGAAATGATCACTTGTAGTCTCAACTGGAGGCCTCTGTGACAGGGAATGATGCAGTTTCTAAATTGGGAGACAAAGACAGAGCGCTCTCACTTTACCAGGAAGTGCCTGAACAAGGTCTTTTATGGCAGGATCGCTATGTATTGGTTTAATTGAAACAACTTTAAAGTGTATTTTTGGTCAAAATGTAAAATCATATATATTAGTTTCTATATTTCAGTTATATCTAGCCTTTTCCTGTTTAATCCAAACAATCTTGATGTTTGAAGATTCCCACATATGTGCTTCCCTGAATTCTATGACAAATAAAAAAAATAAATAAGGCTAAGGGCCTGTTCACATCATTGTGTTATGTGAAAACATGTTATAGTAGCCCATTAATTTGAATAGGCTACCTAATAAGCGGTGATTTAACCACTTGTGGTTATGCAATGCACATCCATCAGCAGTGTGCGTTTGGTGCTAGGGATGCACCGAAATTTCAGCCACCGAAACATATCGGCCGCAAATATCCCTATTGGCCAATAGGAAAAATTTAGCCGATACAGGAGACTGTGTACTGCAGATGTGGGGGGGAGGGAACGACTGCTCAGAAAGGTGGGAGAGGTTTCCTTTTAGTTTCTTTCCTGAGATAAAAGAAACAAAGTTTCCTTTAGCTCCGGGGAAAGTGGCAGCTAATTCTGTGAGCTATAGTGAAGAAAAAAAAAAGTCGGCAATTGCATTTAAAAATCGGCACCGACAGCCAGTGAGGGACATATAGTGACAGTCTCTCTGTATACACTGCTCCTCTCCTGCCCCCTCCTTGCAAACACTGTCCCCACCCTCTCCCCTCTACAAAGAGAACCTATCACTCATATGCTAACACATAGGGGACTATTGGTCCCCTATGTTATAGCAATAAAATCATAAGTTAAAAAAAAAATGTGTGTGTATATATGTGTGTATATATAATACACACACACACACGTAGAAAAAAAATACACAAAATTGGGGCCTCCCCCCACCCTCACATACGCAGACATTTCGGTTCGGTTTTCAGCCACATGCATTCTGAATTTTCGGTATCCGTTTCGGAACCAGAATTTTCATGTTGGTGCCATCCAAAATCAATGGCATCACATCAATGCAAGTAATGTGCATTGTTATAAGGGTTAAAGTAGTTCTGAAGGTTGAAAATTTTGCGTTCTCTGTATTAAAGTGGTTCTAAAGGCTGAAGGTAAAAAACCTTCTGTTTGCAGCTCCCCCTCAGTCCCTCCTAATACCTACCTGACCTCGATTCGGCAACATGCACAAGAGCAGCGGCTCTCCCGGGTGTCTCTCTCTCCTCATAGGGTGCTGTCAATCACAGCCAGTGAGTAGGGGGTAGGCTGAGATGCGAGCACACATGAGTGCCCTCAGAGAATGCACCTTGCTCTGGGGGCACTCAGCAGGGGAGAGGAGTCAGGAGCGCCGGGACCCAAGAAGAGGAGGATCTGGGGCAGCTCTGTGGAAAACCATTCAAATAGAGCAGGTAAGTGTGACACGTTTGTTAATTTTAAAAAAGTGAGTCTTTAGTATTGCTTTGGGCTAACTAATCTTCTGCATGTAGCTCCCCCTTACTAATTTGAGCCCAATCTTGATCCAGCAATGTGTACGAGAACAGCAGCTGTCAACTCTCTCCCTCCTCATTGACTCCGAGCCATCCGCGTGAGGAGCCAGTTAGGAGGGGGTGGAGCCACTTACACAAAGAGCAGGGCTCAGGAGCAAGCAAGCACAAGTGCTTTCAAAGCAAGCAGCTTGCAATGGAAGCACTCTGCGGGGTGGGGGTAGGAGCTAAGAAGAGGATGATTGGGGCTGTTCTGTTCAAAACCATTCCACAGAGCAGCTAAATATGACATGGTGTTTTTTTTTTTTTTTTTTTTTTTAAATGAGAACCTTTAGTATTTCTTTAAAGTAAAAAAAAAAAAAAACCTTCTGCGTGTAGCTCCCCCCTTATACACACCTGAGTCTGAACTCGATCCAGAGATATGTGCACAAGAAGAGCAGCTGTCTCAGTTCTCTACCTTCTCATTGGCTCAGAGACAGCCGCGGGAGCCAGTGAGGAGAGAGGAGGGCTCAGGAGTGAGCACACATGAGTGCCCCCATAGCAAGCGGCTTGCTGTAGAGGCACTCTGCAAGGGGGAGGACCCAAGAAGAGGAGGCTCAAGGCTGCTTTGTGCAAAACCATTGCGCAGAGCAGGTGAGTATGCCATGTTTGTTATTTTAAATTTAAAAAAAATTGCAGCATTTACAGTCACTTTAACTCGTAAGCGTGAGTGGACCTTGAAAGTTCTAAATCTGTTTTAAAGACATAATGTGAGCACTCTTTTTAGGTAATGATTTGCCATTTTAGACCTGGTGAATCTCTTTATTTAAACTGATTAGCCATTGTACAGGGAATGTAAACAGAATGGTTGTTCTAGTAACAACCCCTTTTGTTAATAAATATTGGTAAATGTATATCTGAATAGATATTACTTTGAGGAAAAACTATTTTTTATAAATTTGTCCCTCAAGAAAAACCATTCATTCTACTTATTTCTTGTTTTGCAGTAAACTTTTAAATATTTCATGTACTAGCTGTATTTAAAGAAGAACTAAAGTTTTAGCTATCACAAAATGCATGCAGGCAGGTTCTTTATTGCAGAAGAGACATGCTCTCCTGCAATAGAATTTATCTTCCTGTTTGTTCTGGCGTGTAAACTGAGCTGCTCATGTGCAGCTCCGCTTACATTGCTGGAATGGTTCCTGTGTGGGCATGACTGACTCCTGCGCATGCACTGCAGTGATGTCATCCTGTGCCGGCCAACAAAGATGGAAAGGCCAAAGATTGGCACCCAGAAGAAGATGCCGGCAAAGGACACGGACCGTTGAAGAAATGGTAAGTTTTGCCCTGCTTTAACACTGATATTTAATGATCACATATCAAGACTAAATGAGGTTTCTGGACTTTATTTAATAGCCATTTTATTTCTGTTTTAGATGTGGAACTAACTATCTGGAGTCAGAATGGACAAGATTTTGGAAGGCTTGGTGACTTCTAACCATCCTCTAAATTTGAAGAAAGTTATTGTTAAAAAGGTTGTCGAGTCTGCTGAAAATTCTATAAATGAAGAACAATGCAAAGCTATGTTCAGTCTCACCACCCGCTTGATACTAGAAGGAGATGACTACTTTCAAAAGCAAGTTGGGCATCAAGTTTTGGAAGCCTATGCAAGATATCACCGTGCTGAGTTTGAAAATTTTTTCAACAGAAGCTTTGTTCTAACCCTCTTGCAAGAAGGCTATGGATCTTTAGATCGGAAAGATGTAGCTATTATTGACTATATTCACAGTGGGCTCAAGTTGATTATGAGTTGTCCATCTGTTTTAGACATATTTGCTGTTTTGCAAGTAGAAGTATTAAGAATAGTATGTGAAAGGCCAGAGCCTTTGTTATCTGCTAGGTTAAGTGAACTACTAAGTGACTTTGTGCAATGTGTGCCCAAGGTAAAATGTCCATTGCATTTTGCCAGCAGCTTGTTAGAACAATTGGACATTTTCAGTGTATCTCTACACTTGAAAAGGAGTTAAGGGAGTATGTTTCTCAAGTTACCAAAGTTAGTGGTTTGCTACAAAATATCTGGAAAGCTGAGCCATGCACTTTACTTCCATCATTGCAAGAAGTGTTTGCAATTATTTCTTCCACAGGTAAGTGTTAATGTCTGCTAAATGATTTACTTTTCCTTTGTTACATTATACATAAGACTAGACGAATACTGCCAGTCCAGTCATGCCATGCCTAGTAAAATACCTACTTATCTCCCTGTTCCAGTGATCTTTCAATATGGTCCTGTCCACCGCTGCACAGCTCTTGCAATAAAAACATTCTCACAGGATCCCCTTCTAACTGGATATGCTGGATGGCTGGAGACCACCATGAGTAAGCTTAGTAATATGTGAAACAAGGAGACCCAGAAGGGAGGTTTTTGCTGCAATTCCTGTGCAGCATGAGGCAGGGTCAAAGAATAAGGATTGCTGGATTGTGGAGGAAGATCGTTGAACTGTTCTTTCAATGGGAGAATAAATAAAGTACTGTAGGAACGATACTAAAGGTACGGGTGTTCTTTAACTGCCTCCCGCTCGCCATATAAGGTAATGATGGGTGGGGCGGTGGTTCCCTCGTTCTGGGAGGACGTCATTTCAAGTCCTCCCACTCTAACTGCGCATGCGCACCCTCGGGGGCACGCGGCAATCAGTGGTGCGCTGTGTTCCTGGGGCACAGCGGATTACCGATCGCTGTAAAGAGCTGATGGCGTCGGCTCTGTCATGTGATCAGCTGTGTCCAATCACAGCTGATCACATGTAAATAGGAAATGCCGGTTGTCAGTAGTCCTCTCCTCCCGCTGACAGCTCGTGAGGAGAGGAGAGCTGGTAAGCGGCATTCCTCAGAGGGGACATCTACACTTATCATCAGTACACTGGTGATCAGTGCCCAGATGATCAGTGTAGCTCCATCAGTGCCACCTGGCAGTGACCATCAATGCCACATATCAGTGTCCAGGAGAAAAATTACTTATAACATTTTGTAAATAACAAACTAAAACTTTTTTTTTTTTTTTACAAAATTTTCAGTCTTTTACAGTTTGTTTAGAAAAAAATAAAAACACCTGTGGTGAATAATCGCCACCAAAAGAAAGCTCTATCTGTCTCAAAAAAAAATGACAAAAATTTATTTTGGGTATAGTGTTGCATGACCGCACAATTGTCATTAAAATTGCGACAGCGCTGAAAATTGGCCTGGGCAGGAAGGGGTAAAAGTGCCTGGTAGGCAAGTAGTTAAGTTTCAAATTACGCACCACTAAATTAAGCCAGGAGCTGCATGCTTGTCTAAACAGAGCCCACAACAGGCTGTCTGATAAGTGTTTTCTTGTGCCTGAAGACTTTGACATTGTCCTTATCAGACAGGAGATTTGATATGAAACCATGTAAAATGGGAAAAAAATCGCAAACCTGTAATCTTTTTAAATACATAAGTTTAACTCAAGGAGAGATTCAAAGTCAGCCTGTGGATTGCCAAAAACTTCCCTTTTTTCTTTTGCACTTTCTGTAAACACATAATCGTGATACACAGTGATATATTTTTTCAAAGTCTTTCTATCCTTGTCATCCTTATTTATTGTCTTAGGATCAGACATTCGCTGTCTGCATGGTAACTGGTCCCCTACTGTTTACTGGGTGGGATTATTAACACCTTACTGATAAGTGCATCTTGTCTGCTCTGTTCCCATTCCACCTCTCTTTTGGTGTCAATGCCAATCTCTTCTCAAAGGATATGAGTTATGGCACATAAGAAACTTCTTTAATCATTAGTGAAGGGGGATTGATGTGACCAAAAGATATCAGATGTAAAACAATTTATGCACACGTTTACCTCGTCAGCCCACAAACTCCCGCTTGTTCTCCAGGGCAGAAAAAGACCACTATCCAAGGAATCCAAACAGTACCCAGAGCAGAACAAACAGTATGAAACCAGAATGTTAGAAGGAATAAACATGATGTGCCGTTTATAATGTAAGAACGATTTGTTTCACACTTGTTAGAGCAAAGCTCCAGTGTCACTTGAAAAAATTAAGTTAGCAGCTACAAAAACTTTAGCTGCTGACTTTTTAAAAAAAAAAAAAAAACAGCCACTCGTCTGTGCAAGGATCCAAAGGTGTGTTTACACCAGCTGGGTTCATTGGCCACCCTCTCCCCATCGCTGGCATCTTAAGTGCAGGCACCCGGCTGTGACAACTTGCGGCTTTGCAGCTGGATGCCTACTGCACATGCACGAGTAGTGCTGCGCATCGTGAATGGTCCCGTAGTCTTCTAGGACCTGTCACGTGTCCCAGAAAACTACGTGAAGGGGGGGTGCAAATTCTGCTTCCAATCGCCTAGGAAGTGGGTACCTGTCAAAATCGGGGACCCGCTCTCCTAAAGGTGCCAATTCCTCGTGGGGACCAGTCCTTAAACTGGATCTTCCCCTTCTGAGTGGAGCTCCACTTTAAATAACCTTTCTGTATGAGAGCTGTTGCTTGCTAGCATTAGCCATCCTCATTCAGGTGGAAGTTGAAGTGAGGAGTTGGTACTGCACAAACCCTCCTACGAGCACTAGCTTATAACTAAAAGTGATGGTTCACCTTCACCATAGAACTGTCTATACAGGTAAGGGGCATCTGTTGATAAAAACAAACTGTGTTTCTGACTAAAGTTGAATAATGTCCTTGCTATAAGTGTAGGCCATTTATGTATCTCATGAAGCCTGACTAGAATACACCCAGGACGTTGATTAGTACTTCCAGGACGTTGCTAAATGAGGCCTATTCATTTACTGCTCACCCCCACCATCACAAGAGTGAGCTTTATCTCTGATTCAGACCCCTCACATGCTTTTTCTCCTGATATAGTAGCTCTGGGCTCAGCTTCTGAGAGCTCACTCCTGTAATAGAGGAGGTTGAACAGTAATGACTAGGCCTGGCTTAGCATTGTTCTGGGAGTATTCCAGTCAGGCTTCATGAGGTACGTAAATGTCCTACTTCTATAACAAGGGTATTATTCAACTTTAGTCAGAGCTGCACAGTTTATTTTTATCTACAGACACCTCTTATCTGCATAGGCAGTTTTTGGTCAAGGTGAACTATCCCTTTAAAAAGTGGCTGCACTTTGATATCACAAGTGTTAAAATATTCTCCGAAGATGGATAATACAAAATTTTAAATGCATTCAATTTATGGATGGGCATAAGTATTATAAAAGATACAGTAAGTCATTAATCCCAGAGTTGTGCTTTAATGGTTATTAAATCAATGTAAATGGTCATTTATGTGACGATATGACAAATACAATGTATAATTTATTATAAGAACACTGTAAAAAGTAATCACATTCATACCAAAATATGTATTGGAGGTCTTCCAGTTATGTTCTTAATACTTAAGCCTTAACATTTTGGTTTCATGTTTTTTAAATATACCAATAGCCAAGCCTTTTATTTAATATAACCTTTTATGGCTAAAAACTGACAATTTAATTTCTGTTTCAGATGCTTCATTTGAACCATCTGTTGCTCTGGCGAGCCTTGTGCAGCACATTCCCTTACAGATGATTACTGTTCTCATCAGAAGTTTGACCACCGATCCTAATGTGAAAGATGCAAGCATGACTCAGGCTCTCTGCAGGTATATTATGCCATGCTGTGTACAAAGTATTATTTGCACATAACTTGTAGACAAAGGAACTCCCTGTGGAGAAATCTTAAGTAACCAGTATAGGCATTGTCAATGTTAGCGTTAAGGTGTATTCATGCACTTGGTCATTTTTGTGGATGGAAGTTGGTTGAAAATGTTTAAAATTGTGTGTTGGGTCCAGCATACATACGGTATACTAAATAATTTAAAGCTGGTCATACGCTATACAATCTGAGTGTACATTTCTCCTTTGGATCTACCATCAACTACGCAGTCTAAGGGCAGAAAATAAATAATAATAAACTGAAGCACTAGCCTGTGTACTGATCGAATATAGGAAAGGATCCAAAAAGCCAGTGAACTGAAGTGCGCCACAAATAGCCCTAAGTGATGTAGATCTTGTCTCGGGGATGTGGACACACCAAGAAGAGGGGTGATGGTACTTCTGATGGGAATCAACCATTTATCAGACACAACATCCACCAGCCTCTGAACGGGAAAGACAAAATAGAGCGCAGGACGATAACGGTGTCAGAATAAACGTTTTCAATAAAAACTATCCACTTACATAAAAAAATAAGGAACTTCCAGCCTGGTGATAGAACATTAGCTCATAGAAATCACAGCAGCACCATCAAGACCTCCGCTTCCACCCTGCTGAAGACTCAATAAAATGCTGCAGGGTGTGGCATCGTCATTGTGTGGCGTTTGTCTCTGCAATATTTAGGACGTGGGTGATTGCTAAGTTTTTCAGCCAGGCTTCCAGGGGAACCCAAAAGACCTACGTCTTTATTTAGCTGTGCTTTTGGGTAGGCAGCAAAAATGCTCAGTTGAGTCTCCTTTTTTCTGTCTGTCAGCTGCACTCCTTAAGTTGCAATAAGCAGTAGACAGGGATGTTTAAATGCTGTGGTTGCACTGCTTCGCTTCGCCCCCATGTTTACCCAATATGAAGCAATCAGCGGGTGGCAAGCCTGTCAAACATGACAGACTCAAGCAAATAGGGACGCATTGCAAATGCCCACAACTTTGATGGGAGCATGCTGGTGGTCGTTAGATCGAGCCAAAGCATATAGTTTGCATATCTCATAAGTTTGCGTCAGTACTTTCTGGTTCATGGAATTTTGCAGAAGAATGTCGGTAGTGCAAATGGTACTTCAAGCTGACTGGGGTTTATGAAAAGCAATGGGAGTACCATATTGGTATGTTCTGTTTTTGTATGACGTTTCAACTGTGTGGCATTTAGGAGAGAACAAGTGTGGACCTTTTTTAAATAAAAAGTCCTTTGGCACTGCTATTGCATTGGTGGAAACAGTAGACCTTTGCCTGAAGATGTACATGCTGGTAATGCTCTCAACAAATGGACTTTCAACCTAGTTCTGAGTTGCCAATTTCAGTGGTACCAATGTTGATTTTAAATGATCATCTGGCTTTATAATTGTTGATTTGCACAATAGTTGCAATCATTTGATTGTTTAAAACTGGGAAACAAAGAAAACAATGGGTGCCGCATTGCAATAAAATTGCCAGGAACATGGCCAGCATGATAATTTTCCCATATTGGCTGTCCTGCATAGCACCTACTTGTTATCTAGCAATGCGTTTGGAAATATGCTTTGTGTAAGCAGATGCCCGCTTCCTGGGGCTCTTGCAAGAATACGGGGAATAGCTTCTTGCATATGCTGTTTATTATTTTATTTATATATGTATATATTTTTTTTTACCTTGTGGTTTCTGGCTGCCATCACTTTTAGATGCAAATCACTTGGGGATTTAAGTACATGATGAATGCTATTTACTGTCTGCATGGCAATACTAAAGTGATATGTAGCCATGTTTACTTTAACAGACAGGCTCATTAGAAAAAATGTGTAATTCGTTATTAAATCTCTTGTGGCTAGAGAAGCTCAGTGCTTAGAACATGATGTCCCTTCTCTTTCAGGATGATTGACTGGCTTTCCTGGCCTCTAGCACAGCATGTGGAGACATGGGTGATCGCCCTGCTGAAGGGACTGGCAGCAGTCCAGAAATTTACTATTCTAATTGATGTTACTTTGCTTAAAATTGAATTGGTATGTAAGTTAATCTCTCTACTTAATTATTTCATATATAGATGCATTTTTATAGTGCTTCCTGAAAAGCAAAGATCTTTTATCTTTGTTCTGTATAAAAGTTAATCTGAGTACTTGCTAACAAACCTAATCCTGATACTTGCGAACTACTATGTATAAATAATCAGATCTGACCTTTCTGCCAAGTCAGAGAGTTTCTTTGTTTTATTTGCATATAGATGCATGATAGATGCACTTTCACGATAGATTAATTACTTGGAGAAATATAAAAATCAAACTTCAGCTTTTTCTCAATCCGAACATCAAACTGTCAGTTTGTAAATATTGAAATGTTTAAAAAAAAAAATTCAGTGTTTTTGTGTTTTTTTTTTAATTTTTTTACTTTTTATCCAGATACAATTGACAGCTTCAAATGCCTATAGATTGATACATATGCATGGGGAATATGAGACAAGTCTATGAAATCTATCATTTTACTGTTATTCAAATGGTACTCTCCCATTTTAGTTCTGCTTCACCCCTTTTTCCAACGGTCAGCTGTAACAAACTGATGAGCCTATTACTTTTCTCTCCCCTTATGTAAGCATGTTTAGTGTTAGGGTCAATCTGCAAAATAATAAGTCCTAATAGGCTAATAGTGTTGACCCTTTCTTTTGTAGTGCTGTTGTGCAGAGGATGAAACCACCACACATTTGGGTACTAACATTTGTAATGCAATGGTTTTAAATCTTTTTTTGAATATAAAGCAAAACTTTTTTTGGTTTAGGATAGAGTAGCGAGAAATAGCGCCTGTCAGAATTTTACTGCTTTCTATATCCCAGCTTGGAATCGCCCTATTTGTTCTGCTGACCATCATGATGTGGACTGAAATTGAGGGGAAAATCCAAAATTTTGATTTCAACCGCTGCACAAAGAGAAGGAAAATCTTTCCGATGGGACAGAGATTGGGGGAAAAAAAAATGGACAGGGCTTCTGACCATCCCTGCTAATATTAAAATGTAAAGTGTTCTTAAACCCACAACAGTAAACTTAGTAAATACACTAAAGCATGCTTGATCTCACTCACTGTGGAAAAAAGGGGTTAATCCTCTGCACTGTGTAAAAAGGGTGTTTTTCGTTCTGTCTTCTTTGATCCTCCCCTACTTCCGCAGTCCCCAATCCATCTGCTGATAGAGCAGAGCCTTGGGGGCAAGCTGCACATGCTCGGTTTGGTGTGTATTGCTATAGAATTTTTTTTTTTTTTTTTTTTTTTTGGGAGAGTGCATGTGATCAGCACAGGGCCAATCAGTGCTGTCCAGACAGAGTGTCAGGGGTCCTACACCTCGGGGGAGAATGAAAACTCCTACAAGTTTTAACCAGTGTTGGACATTGATTCTGGGTTTAGTAACACTTTAAGTAGTAGTGGGCAGATGGACAAAGCTTTTTTGAATACCAGCCGGTATTTCCTTTGCTAAACCCACAACTGACATCCTAGCACCAGACAGCACACAGTCTCTAAGATCCTAAGGGGTGTCTGTACTCAAGGCCCAAGAGCTACTGGATGCCTTCTTCAGTGATACCAGACCTAATCTTCAGTAGATGGCCCCCCAAGTCAGTGTACCAGAACCCTGGGTATCAGCATTCAGGTCGCGAACCTGAGGCTTACATCATCGGGTTAATCCTCTGCATTGTGTAAAAATGCAGTTTGATCTTGACTTCTCTGATCCTCCCCTTCTTTCAGTGTGCCCCTCTTATCTCCTGATAAGACATATGTGTGGACACACAATGCACATGTTCAGTTTGGTGTGTATTGCTAGAGAGGTTTTTTTTCTTTTTTTTTTTCTTGGGAGAGTCCATGTGATCAGCACAGGCCAAGTCAGTACTGTCCAGACAGAGGTCAAGGGTTTTTCATTCTCCTAGAGCAGAAAGAAAACTCCTCCTACAAGCTTATTTGTACTAAACTAATTGCATTTCCATGTTGTGTGTACTGTGGGAGACCAGATATAGTGAATGCAGGGTCCTGGGTTTAGTAAAAAAAAAAAAAATGTAGATATACGTTAACCAGACAGTTTATACTGCGGTGGGTGAGAAGTAACCAAGAGTCCTTTCACTAGAGCACTGCAAAGAAGATTATACCTTATTAAAACAGAAGGTGTGTGTTGTCACTTTCAACATACTGTCTCTTTTTAAGGAGATTTGTAAAAGATATTTTTAAAAATAAACAGCTCTGTACTCACCTGCTCTGTGCAATAGAACTGCACATAGAAGCCCTGATCCTCCTTTTCTTGGGTTCCCGGCTGGCGCTCCGGGCTTCTCCTCTCTGTCCAGTGCCCTCATAGTAAGCCACTTCCCATGGGGTCACTTTTACATGCTCGCTTTCGAGTCCCGCTGCTGCTTCCATTGCAACAGACAGCGGGACTCGACCCCCACCAACAGCAGAAGCCAATGGTGCCCCAGCAAAGCCAGTGAGGGGAGAAAAGCGCTGTAGACTTCAACAGCGCTGGATTGTATGAGGGTTCAGGTATAAGGGGGGGTGAAGGGCCAGAACCGATGCAAAAAATGAAATAAGGTAAAAAAAAAAAAAAAAATGCTTAGGCTTTAGAACTACTTTTAATGTGAAACCAAAAAAAAAAAGGATTGATTCCCCATTTTGAGTAATTAGGTGGAGCCATGCAAATTTTTTTTTTCTGCTAATCTTATAGCACAGATGCAGCTTACTTCAGAGTCTTTTATTCTAACTTTTGTGTAGGGATGTTTTATGGTATTTACCTCTCATAAGTGATCGGAATGGAACACATGACTTAGAGTATACAAATAGCAACTGTAAGTCAGTGTGATGTCCTGATCTTGTTTTAAAATGACTAACCCTTTCCTTTTTGTAGTGCTTTGGAGGAAAGGTCTTTTGATTTTGCTCTCAGCCCATCTCAACATAAAATAAGTAGTTTTCCTAATTGGAGAATTGCAGTGTTTGAAGAGGTTTGAGAATTGAAAGGTGAACAGAATTTCAGATTATTTGCAATGGTTCATAACTTGGCATTTAGCTGTTTGAAGTAAATGTTCTCCCTCTACAAATCCGCCTTCCTCACCTACTCCTCCTCCCTCCACGCCGCCAAACAAGCCTACTTCGTAACCCTCATCAACACCCTCTCCACCTGTCCCCGCTGGCTCTTCTCCCACTTTCAACTCCCTACTCTCTCCCCCATCCCCACCTAGTACCTCACTCACCGCCCACAAGATTGCCAATCACTGCCAAAATAAGATCGACGCAATCCGTAAGGACATCGCCAATGCTCAACCTACCTCCCCACCTAGCCTCCCTCCCACTATAACCCCATCAACTCTTCCCTCCTCTGACCTCGCAACCTCCCCAACACTCCGCTCCTTCAGCCTTGCTACCACTGAGGAAGTTACTAAGGTCTTCTCAGAAGCCCACCTCACCACTTGCCTCCTTGACATTGTCCCCACACAACTCCTCCGGTCACCCTCCTCCTCCCATCTTACGCTCCCTTACCCACATCTTCAATCTCTCCCTCTCTACTGGCGCATTCTCCTCCCCCCTAAAGCATGCGCACATCACCCCCATACTCAAAAAACCCTCCCTGGACCCCACCGACCTGAACAACCTTAGACCCATCTCCCTGCTGCCATTTACTTCCAAATTCCTTGAGCGCTTAGTCTACAATCGCCTAGGCGCCCACCTCACTGACAACAACCTCCTCGATCCACTACAGTCTGGCTTCCGTCCCCTACACTCCACCGAACGCCCTACTGAAAATCACTAATGACCTGCTAACCGCCAAATCTAATGGCCACTACTCAGTCCTCCTACTCCTTGACCTCTCCGTGGTCTTCGACACAGTCGACCACCCCCTCCTTCTTAATAAACTACACTCCCTTGGCATCAGAGACTCCGCTCTCTCCTGGCTCTCCTCCTATCTATCCCAACGCTCCTTCAGCGTTACCTATAACACTACCACTTCCTCCTCTCTCCCCCTTTCTGTTGGGGTCCCCCAAGGCTCTGTCCTCGGGCCCCTTCTCTTCTCCATCTACACCTCCTCCCTCGGCAAACTGATATACCCCCACGGCTTCAACTATCACCTCTATGTCGATGACACGCAAATTTACCTCTCCACCCCTCAACTCACCCCTTCAGTCTCCGCCCGTATCACCCACCTACTGAATGACATATCAGACTGGATGTCGCTCCATTTCCTCAAACTGAACCTTTCCAAAACCGAGCTCCTGATTTTCCCCCCAGCCCGTGCGCCCCCCCCACCCTCGCCATCACGACCAACAACGCCACCCTCAGTCCCACCCAATAAGCCATAGTCCTAGGTGTCACTCTAGACTCAAACCTGTCCTTCCAACCCCATGTCCAATCGTTAGCAAACTCATGCAGGCTCCACCTCCGCAACATCTCAAAAATACGTTCGTTCCTAACCCCAGACACTACAAAACTACTTGTTCACTCCCTTATCTCACGTCTGGAGTACTGCAACTCCCTTCTCACCGGCCTACCTCATCGCAGACTATCCCCTCTTCAGTCTATGCTGAACTCAGCGGCCAGACTCATCCACCTTACCAACCGCTCCGCTTCTGCCATCCCCCTCTGTCATTCCCTCCACTGGCTCCCGATTGCCCAACACATTAAATTCAAACTACTAACATTGACGTACAAAGCCATTTATAATGCTGCCCCACACTACCTTACTGACCTGATACCCAAATACCACCCTACCCGTAATCTTCGCTCCTCGCAAGACCTCCTACTTTCTAGCTCCCTGGTCTCCACCTCCCACGCCCGACTGCAGGACTTCTCCAGGACTCCCCCCCATCCTCTGGAACTCACTACCCCAATCCATCAGACTGTCACCTACCCTCCTCACCTTTAGGCACACCCTGAAAACCATCACTTCAGGGAAGCCTACCCCGCCCTCACCTAACAGCCGATCTCCTCCTCTCTGCCCACCACTCCCATCCCCCACAGCCACTTCCTCCTGTACCACTATCCCCTCCTTCCTAGATTGTAAGCTCGAAAGAGCAGGGCCCTTGAACCCCTCGTGTTTTGTTTTGTTACTGTATTGTCTCATGTACTGTCCCCCACTATAATGTACAGCGCTGAGCAAACCTTTTTAGCGCTATATAAATACTGTATAATATAATAACTCTCTAACTCTGCTGCACAATACATGTAGAAGACTTTCCACTAATACATATATATATATATATATATATATATATGTATGTATGTATGTACTTTGTGTGTGTGTGTGTGTGTATATGTATATATATATAATATATATATATATATATATATATATATATATATATATATATATATATCTTTCCTTTTTATTTTAAATGGGGTACAAGTAAACTCCTGTTTTAATGATCCAGCTCCTTTGAAGTTCTGGTATTGATTTCTACTGATGGAGTACATAGTACACAATGATACACATGTATGAGTTTTATCTTTAGTCTCCCAGATTTCCTTTTTATCCTTAACATGGTTGACAAATAGATAATTAGATTTCCTGTTTCAATTGATGCACCTATTTGAGGTTTGTATTCTATATGGTGATGCTTTTTGTTAAAAAAAAAAAAAACACAACTTCTTTTATCTAATAGAATTGTAATGTGTCCAGGTAAATGATCAGATTTTATTTCATCACTTAAAAATTTGAAATGAAAAGTAATCTAATTAGGAAAAAAGCCATAGTATGTGTGTGGCATTCTTTTAAGGAAAATATGCTATGCTGTCCTTTTTGAATAGTCTAAGTAACCTATGTTGTAAATAGATCTGAATAACAGGAGATCAAATTATACCCACAAACAGCTGAATGGAGGATACGCTGTACTGTCTCTGAAGACAGAAGCTAGAAGAGGCTAGGGTATTTGTATCAGTAAGCTGAACAGAGCCTATCAACAAGTAAGCAGGCAGTGCTTGATTTTATTAGTAGAAAGGCCAGTATACTTTGGAAAATAAGTGTCATAGATCAAATCTGAGTTAAAAGGTACTTGTTAAATAAAGGTTTTATAAAAATAGTGCCAATCATATAAACTATGAATTAAATTGACCAAAGACTATTACAAAAATCACTTTTCTTTTTTTAAAGAGCAATTCCAAGCAACAGATGATGCCAGTCAATCAGGTATATATTTAACCAACAACCCTAAAACTGTATTGACTTCTGTTTAATGTACCTGAATCTAAAATAACTGTAATCTCTAAAAGCCAGAATGCGGAGCTCCTCACAAGTTAATTGGGAGTGTGCTTAGTGTAGCTTGTGCTGTGCCAAAATGCACGATCACCAGTCAGTTTCAGACTGTTTTGAATTGGATTGGTGGCTGTGGAAAACGTTTTAGTATGTAGTGCCTTGATATATAAAGCCCTTTTTAATGGTATGTTTTTAAAGGACAAAATGCACCACGTAAGAGAACCCCAATGTAAAAAGGGGATTCATTTCCTTCGTACTTTTAGTCCTTTTTATTAAAAAGAAAAAAACTTAAATACATTACATATGTGTTGATCATGCCATTCCCCTTCAATAACACCCCGTCTATATCCTTCTGACCATGCTAGGCATAGAAGTGGATCTATCCTTCCATGGTCAATATGCTATACTTTCACACAGTGCGCACTGTACTCCTGTGGTCAGTCTGCTGCTGACACATCCCAGCCCTGCATTCTGCTTGAAAGCTACAAGGTGCTGCGACTTTGCTCCTGTGGTCAGACTGCTGTTGACATGCTCCCCCACCACCAGACCTGCACATTTTAAATGACAGTGCCTGAGATATTTGATGTCTGCAGAAGCTGCCAATCATCACAAGGAGTCTCCACTACTTTGAGCCTGGGAGGCAACTTCTGCATGGTGGTCTTGTAACCGCTTGTAAACACTGGCGACAAACAAGGCTTTTACGATTTTTTTTTTTTTTTTTTTTTTTTTTTTTTAATATAAAGTTTTGCCTTTAGATTATGATTATAGATTGTTCCAATCTTTTAAAAAATACAGGGTTCGTATAATCTTTAATTCTTAGTTTTTACATATACTGCACTTTAGACATTCGTTGATTTTTTTTTTTTTTTTTTTTTTTTTATGTCCCTGCTACAGTTGAAATGTGGTTTTCAGTATTCTCGTATAAGGAGACAACATGAATTTAAAGTACAAGCAGTATTTACAGATACGTTATATAATATACTTAGTCTTCATATATTTTATGTTTCAGGTATTCAACAGACTGTGGTTTCCACTGGTAAGACCCGGAGCATTGGCCGTGCTTTCCCACATGCTACTTAGCTTTCAGCATTCTCCAGAGGCTTTTCATATGGTATGTTTTGAGAACAATGTTTTTATAGTTAAAAGCCCAAAGCATATGAACATCATTACTTCACCATTCAGATATAGTAATAAGTGTTCCATAAACCATTTTTTCATCTCACGTAATGCAAACATTTTTTATGGCTATTACACAAAGTATGTTTGTCATATTGTGCACGATACAGAGGGTAAAATAAGTATTGAACATGTCACCATTTTTCTCAGTAAATACATTTCTAATGCTATTGACATGAATTTTTCACCACATGTCGGTAACAACCCATACAATCCATACATGCAAAGAAACCAGAACAAATAAGTTCAGAAATTAAGTTTTATGTATTAAAATGGAATGACACAGGGAAAAAGTATTGAACATGCTAACTGTATTTAATACTTCGTACAACATCCTTTGTTGGTAAGGAAAGCTTCAAGATGCCTCCTGGATGGAGAAACTAGTCGCATGCATTGCTCAGGTGTGATTTTGGCCCATTCTTTCACATAAACAGGCTTCAAACCTTGAAGGTTCTGTGGGCCTCTTCTATGAACTCTGACCTTTAGTTCTTTCCATAGATTTTCTATTGGATTCAAGTCAGGTGATTGGCTGGGCCATTCTAGCAACTTTATTTTCTTTCTTTGAAACCAGTTGAGAGTTTCCTTGGCTTGTGTTTGGGATAATTATCTTGTTGAAATGTCCACCCTCGTTTCATCTTCATCATCCTGGTAGATGGCAGCGGATTTTTATCAAGAATGTCTTGGTACATTTTTCCCTTCATCCTTCCTTCAATGACATAACATTTGCCAGTACCGTATGCTGAAAAACAGCCCCACACCATCACACCATGATGTTTCCACCTCCCAAACTTCACTGTTGGTATGGTGTTTTTGGGGGTGATGTGCAGTGCCATTTGACCTCCAAACATGGTGTGTATTATGGCATCCAAGGTTTTCAGTTTTGGTCTCATCTGACCAGACTATATTCTCCCTGTATTTCACAGTGTTGTCTAAATGTTGTGCAACAAACGTTAAACGAGCTTCAACATGCTTTTTCTTCAGCAGTGGATTCTTGCATGGTGAGCATGCAAACAGGCCATGGCGGTTGACTGCATTAGTTGGACAACTCTTTTGATAATTCTTTTCACTCCTCTGTCAGAAATCTTGCAAGGAGCACCTGGTCGTGGCCAGTTTATGGTGAAATGTTCTTTCCATTTCCGAATTATGGCCCCAGCAGTGCTCACTGGAACATTCAGAAGTTGAGATATTTCTGTAACAAATGCCATCCGTATGTTTTGCAACAATAAGGTTGCAAAGATCTTGAGATAGCACCTTGCTTTCACCCATCATGAGTTGTTTCTTGGTAATGAGACATCTTTTTAAAGGCCATCAGTTGAGACTGAAACAGCTGGTATTTGCACTGACAAGAGGCAGGATTTCTTTCTAATTACTGATAGATTTCTGCTGGTGTCTTGGCTTTCCATGCCTTTTTGCACCTCCCTTTCTTGTGTTCAGTACTTTTTCCCTGCGTCATTCCATTTTATTACACATAACTTAATTTCTGGACTTATTTATTTTGGTTTCTTTTGTGTGGATTGCATGTGTTGTTACCAACGTGGTGACAATTGCATGTCAATAGCACCTTTAGAAATATATTTACTGAGAAAAATGGTGACGTGTGCAATACTTTTTACCCGCTGTATGTTTCATATATGGTGAAATTCTTACATTAATGCTGTATATCCTGTATCAGTCTTCACAGTGATGATGTGTTGGTTTTGTTTTTTTTTTTATTAAAGCAACTCTGTTGCTATTATAAGCATACAAAAGTAACTTATACCTGTGTAGAGAGTAAATATTTGCTTCTTCTGCTTCTCTCTGATCCCGAGATTTGGTCCAGCAAAGTCCACTGGGGAAACTGACACGTGTGGAAGTGCCTGTCTCTGCATTCAATATACACGAGTTGGGAGATGGAGACAGAAAATCTCTCCAGATCCTTGTGGAAAGGTTTTACTGGTACCACACCCCTAATTGGAAATGTAAATATAACCTTAACAAGAAGAAGAAACTAATGGGGCTTTAAAGGTACCAAACCACGTCAATTTATGCAAAAAATGGGAAACAAAAGATAAAGAATTTAACACCTTTTTATTGAGTTAAAAAACCACCATAGTGGTGGAACATGACAATCAAACATAAATGGAGGATCAAAAAAAATTCAAATGAACAGAACTACAATTGGTAGCCTAACTGCAATACATATCGTTGCTGATACCGAAGACGTTGGAGTGGCGTCATAGGTATCGGTGTACATATTAGTAGATAGCTACAACATTTAAAGATGAAATGATGCTTGGTTGATCTATTCCTACATATTGTTGCTGATACCCAAGACGTTGAAGTCGCATAATAGGTATCAGTTGACATATTAGTAGATAGCTCAAGCCTTGAAATATGAAAGGTTAATATATTCCAACGCGTTTCACGGGACAATGCCTGCTTCCTCAGGGAAACAAAGCACAGGTTCCAGTTGACGATGCTGATGACCTCCCAAATGGCCTTTGCAGGGAATGTGGGACAATTCACTGCTGCCTGGATGAAATGAGGGCCTCCAGCAAGTGATATGGAGTAGCCGCCAGTTGAAAAATGTTGGTAACTAGCCAATAGGTGCTCCAAAAATGAGGGCATATAAGGCTACTTCCAGGTATATGGGGAGGGGCAGAAATGTGCCTCACCTCTATCCCCCCAGTGTAGTCCTTACTATTACACAGTCCAGACTATAGAGAAAATTCTAGTTTCTCTAGAAGGTGACCTATAAAAACATATCTAAAAAAATTAAAAAGACTGCGGGTTCAGATTTATTGTTTTACTTTTCCAGCATATGTGAAAAAAGAACTTTGTCAATTAGAGAGGATTAAATTCTAAGTGAACAGATTGCATAATACAATTATGTAAATGTATCTATCTAACGCTTTAAAATGGGCCAAAGAAATCTTCATTAAAAAGAACACTGTCATTCACTGTATGAGTGATGGGTTCTCAGACATACAGAGCGCCATTATTCACTTTATATTTCTCAAAGGGGTTAATGCTATTTGCATGGAGTTTAAATATTCTTTATTTCAACTAGAGATGGAGCAGTTTTCATATGTTGGCTTGACAATACAGTAATATCTTAGGATTTTCTATTGCATAGTTTTGATGTTTTTGATGTCATCTATTACACTCTTCACATCTGGGTTCTTAGTATCAATGAGGTTATACTGGGAGGTGCATAGGTTCTGGCTGCTCTTTAGAAAGAGACCTGCTAGTAAGGTGAAGTTGCACAGTGGATGTGAAACCAAATTCTTGCAGAAAATTTAGTAATGTTTCTTATAAATCTAGGAGCTTGTACTTGTTTATATTCAAATAGCTAAATGTGAATAACTTGCACAGTTAACCACTTGCCTACAGGGCACTTATACCTCCTTTGTGCCCAGGCCAATTTTCAGCTTTCAGTGCTTTCCCAGAACTGGGTAACTGCGCTGTAGCCGTCATTAGGCTATAGCGCAGTTACCAAGCGGGTAAATAGATATTGATAATTGTGTTAAGATTACTAAATGATTCTCCAATTTACTGTGTAGTAGCTCATTGGTTAGCAAGTGTTTCAAAGCAAATTTGTATAACACAGAGCTCGTAATGTTTGCCATCTACTAAGAGAGAAAAGCATTTACCTAGCAGCACTTTTATTAAACCAAAAAAAATGCCAACTCTGCATCAGTTTGGTTTTTTTTTTTTCAAAATTCCAGAAACTCCTATAGTAAATTCAACCATGTATTATTCACTAACGCTAAATAATTTCCCAACATTCAAGGATAGGAGGATTGAGGACAAAATTAAAAGGTAAAGGCGAGTAAAATCAGGGATTCTCCAAAACTTATCAATGCAGACTTGTCCAAATGTGTGTTTCTCCAGACCTCAAACAGATCTATAATGATATTTCATTGCAAGTTAAAGTGGTTGTAAACCTCAGACACAAAATATGAACAAAGCATGTCCCTGTGTAGTTTAGTGTGTTCTTGTCTCAGTTACGAACACTAAGTGTCATTTCTGTCTGCTGTCTGCATGAGTTTTTCTGACAAGTGTTCCTGTCACCAAGAGAAAAGTGAAAGGAAGAGACCTCCAACACAGAGCCTGTGATTGTCAGCCTCAGCTCTGTTCTTGTGTGCGGTGAGAAGGGTATGCTCCATCCATCCAATTAGCTCTCAGAGCTCTCCTAACTGAGTCCTGCAGTGTGTAGTTTCAGCTGTCTGTTCAGTTTCTTTAAGCTTAGACAAACTTTATAAATTCTGCATTTTGAACGAATGTAGAGAAGGGAATACTGCAGATAAACAGGTACAACTTAAGTAGGATGATTTGTTTCATCTCTGAGTATCACCTGAGGCAAGTCACTTTGCTGGGTATATGTAAGGGTTTACAACCATTTTAACCCCTTCCAGTCTGCCCTATTCCAGAATTACTGCTACAGGGCGGTGTGTGTGTGTGTGTGTGTGTGTGTGTGTGTGTGTGTGTGTGTGTGTGTGTTATTTTTCGCATTTCTGGGTAGGGGACGCACATCATACCGCGGCTGTCAATCACCGGGTCCCGCCGGTGATTGCCAAGCATCTCCGAAAGCGCGGGGGGGGGAGAACTATTCGTAAACAAAAACAGTTCTCTCCCTTGCCAACTCCGGCACACTGCTTTGCATGGCTGTGCATAGTACAGTCATGCAAAGCAGTGTGCTTACAGTGAAGCACAAACACACAGCCCCTAGTAAAACCGCACACAGTTATTCCTTTGCCCCACATGTTAACACCTTTCTGCCCAGTGCCATTAGTACAGTGTCAGTGCTTTTTTTTATTAGCACTGATCACTGTATTGGTGTCACTGGGGATGTAAGTGACACCAAGTCAGTTCCACACCCAGTGTCGGAATGCCTGCTGCAGTCCTGCGCTGATCACCACCATTTACTAGTAAAAATTAAAAAAAAAAAAAAAACCAATATATAACACCATTTGTAAATGCTATAACTTTCACGTAAACCAATTAATTTACACTTATTGGTATTTTTTTGTAGCGAAGATATGTAGCAGAATACATTTTGGTCTAAATTTAGGACGAAATTAGATTTTTTTTTTTTTTTTTTTTTTTTTTTTTTTTTTTAGCGCAAAAAATAAACAGGCGATCAAATTTCACTGAAAGAAAGCTATATTTGTGGGAAAAAAAGGGGTGTAAATTTAATTTGGGTGCAGCGTTGCATGACCGTGCAATTGTCTGTCAGTTAAAGTAACACAGCTCCATACTGCAAAAAATTGCCTGGTCAGGAAGGGGGGTAAATTCTTTGGAGGGTAAGTGGTTAATCAGTAGGGCTGGGATGCCATTAAGGGATTACAATCGTTGGAATATTGCTATGGGGGAAGCAGGGAAGGGGGGGAGAAATTAGAGGAAGAAAGAAGGCAGATGCAAGAAAGCAGTCTCCACCACCACCAGCTGTATTTATAAAGGCTAAGGTTTGGTTGTAGATGACTCCCCATGATGAAGGTGGGTTACTAGATGTGTTCTCTAGTCCCCCAGAAACTTGCTAACTAAATGCAGAGTGGTGAGTTTGCTTTTAGAGCTACGTGGATGACAACAGAGTTGATCTTTGGTCCCTTTTGTGATATGCACATGTAACTGGCACATATAATAATATAGTTCAGACTACCTTTTTTCTTTGGTGCTACATATGTGTTTATAGTTATGGTTTGCCTTTTATTTTTGTTTGTTTTCTTTCAGATTGTACCACATGTTGTAAATCTGGTCCAGTCTTTTAAAAGTGATGGCCTCCCATCCAGTTCAGCATTCCTTGTCCAGTTTTCCGAGCTGATGCACTGCATGATCTATCACTATTCTGGATTTCCAGACCTTTATGAACCCATCTTGGAAGCTCTTAAGGTAAAAGCTGCATGTATCTAGCAGCAATCCAGAACTGTACAGTATAAGTTTTATGCTAAATAAGGATCACCACAGAGCCGCCTTATTTCACTCTCAAACTTTTCCTCAGGGTCCACTAACAGGACAGGTCTTCTAGATCTCCACAGTTGAATGGAGGAAATTATTAGAGTGTTTTAACTTTAAATATTACAAATGTGTGAGTGCCTGCAAGTCTGAAAAACAAAACCAGTCCCTGAAGTCAGGTTTTAGGTTTGAGAAACATCGGCTTAGAGCACAGTTCCCCAAACATTCTAAACATAGGAACAGTTTACTTTCGTTCAGACATTTAGGGGGCTGGTGGGGGTAGTAAATGTCCCAACGTCATTGGGAGTTAACAAAGCTTCAGGCTTGATGGTCAGTGAGAGTCAAAAAAAATTACCTAATGCCTGTGCTCAGTGGGAGGAAGAATCCCATCATTGGTACTAGTGGAAGATATAATGCCCCGTTGTTGGTATTCGTGGGAGGAATAGTGCTCCATTGTTGGTGTCAGCTAAAGAAATGGTGTTTCTCTTGGTGTCAGTGGAAGGAAGAGTGCTTTGTATCAACTGGAGGAATAGTGTCCCAAGGGCCCAATAAATTCAGGCAAAGGGCCACAGTTTGGAGAGCCCTGGCTTAGAGAATACAGGTGTTACAATGCCTTCTCACGTGGGGGCATTGGAAATTTGGAAGTTTGCATACCATTTTATATAAAGCATTGTATCCGTCTTTTTGTGCTTGCATCTAACTTTCTTGTTTGGTACATGGGATTACATTACCAGTAGTTTTATATCTTCTGTGTTGTGAGATATATAAATACTTCAAATATGTCTAGTAGTAAAAAAAAAAAAACTTATTTGCTCATCTGAGAACACAGTAAATGATGGTGGTAAGAATCCCAATAAACATTTCACTCACCACAGCTGCAGCACAAGGGACTTTAATAAAAGAAGGCTATACAGAGAAATGCAGGGACTTCCATTTCTAAATTGTGGGGGGGGGGGAGCACATGTTAAAAACAAGTGTTATGCTGCAAAGGATGGAGTTGGCTTTTAAAAATGTTTACATACAGTGGGTATAGAAAAAAAAATTGCCTCCCTTTTTAAAATAATCGCATTTTGTTGCTTTGTAGCCTGTAATGAAGACACAGTTTTTGTTTTATCCAGCTGTATTTACTCAGTGCAACCTATAACATCCAAGTGAAAGATATAACACCAAAATGTCCGAAAAAAAAAATTTAAAAATTCAAAACTAGAATCTCTGAGTTGGAAAATGGATCACCCCCTTGTGTCAGTATTTTGGTGAACCACCTTTTTTGCTTTTTAATTACAGCCTTTATTCTGTTGGAATATGTTTACTACAAGTTCAGATAAATTTGATGGTGACCATTTGTGGACTGGGGTCTTCAAGTTATTCCACAGATTTACAATGGGGTTTAAGTCTGGGCTCTGACTAGGCCATGCAAGGACATTAATTTTTTTTTTCTCCTTCAGCCGCTGTGTAGTCATTTTTTTGTTGTGTGCTTTGGCTCATTGTAATGTTGGAAGGCAAACCTTTTTTCCATTCATAACTAACTGACAGAGGGCAGCAGATTTTCCTCAAGAATTTGGTATTTTGCCCCATCCATTTTTCCTTCTATCCTGACAAGTGCTCCAGTCCCTGGTGCAAAGAAACGCCCCATAACAGGATATTATAACCTCCATGTTTTACTATGGGAATGGTGTTATTTGGATAGTGAGCTGTATTAGATTTCCACTAGACATACAGTTGTGTTCAAAATAATAGCAGTCAGACATCACTAACCTGATCAATCACTTTTTTGGTAGAAATGATATTTCTACATGGCAAATAATTTACTAGCAGGTGTAGTAGAGTAATAGAAATCCAACAGACCCAACAATCATGACATGCATGCTGCTGATTCTGTGTAATTGAATCACTAATTGAAAGGGGCATGTTCAAAATAATAGCAGTGTGGAGTTCTATTAGTGAGGTCATTCATTCTTTGAAAAACAGGTGGCAATTATTGCCCTTATTTAAGGAAGGAAGGCAGCAAATGTTGTACATGCTGGTTACAGTGCATTTCTCTCTGAAATTCTGAGGAAAATGGGTCGTTCCAGACATTGTTCAGAAGAACAGCGTACCTTGATTAAAAAGTTGATTGGAGAGGGGAAAACATATAAAGAAGTGCAGAAAATGATAGGCTGCTCAGCTAAAATGATTGCAAATGCTTTAAAATGGCAACCAAAACCTGAAAGACGTGGAAGAAAGCAAAAAACTACCATTCGAATGGATAGAAGAATAGCCGGAATGGCAAGGACTCGGCCAACAATCCAGGAAGATCAAAGAAGGTGTAAAGTTACCTGTGAGTACTGTTACAATTAGAAGACGCCTATGTGAAGCCAAGCTATCTGCAAGAAGCCCCCGCAAAGTCCCACTGTTGAAAAAAAGACGCGCTGAAGAGGTTACAATTTGCCAAAGAGCACATTGACTGGCCTAAAGAGAAATGGCGCAACATTTTGTGGACTGATGAAAGTAAGATTGTTCTTTTTGGGTCTAGTGGCCGGAGACAGTTTGTCAGACGACCCCCAAACACTGAATTCAAGCCACAGTACACTGTGAAGACAGTGAAGCATGGTTGCACAAGCATCATGATATGGGGATGTTTCTCATACTACGGTGTTGGGTCTATTTATCGCATATCAGGGATCATGGATCAGTTTGAATACATCAGAATACTTGAAGAGGTCATGCTGCCTTATGCTGAAGAGGAAATGCCCTTGAAATGGGTGTTCCAACAAGACAACGACCCCAAACACACACCAGTAAACGTGCAACATCTTGGTTCCAGACCAACAAGATTGACGTTATGGAGTGGCCAGCCCAATCCCCGGATCTTAATCCAATAGAAGACTTGTGGGGTGACATCAAAAATGCAGTTTCTGAGGCAAAACCAAGAAATAGAGAAGAACTGTGGAATGTAGTCCAATCATCCTGGGCTGGAATACCTGTTCACAGGTGCCAGAAGTTGGTTGACTCCATGCAACACAGATGTACAGCAATTCTCAGAAACAGAGCTTATACAACTAAATATTAAGTGATTCAAAGGAAAGCAAAATCTTCAAACATTTTTCAGTTTATATAGTGAATGTTTGAGTTTGTTAAGAAGAATACAAACACTGCTATTTTTTTGAACAGTCTAATATTCACTTTTCTTAAAAATTTTTTTTAGAGGAACAACACAAATTTGATCTATTTTTCTTCATGTTTTGATTTGGAATAGAATGTGTAGTGTTGCCAATGCATTTGTGTGTATGGAAATAAAAGTTATTAGAAGGATTTTGAGCTTTATTCACTTTTTTCAACACACTGCTATTATTTTGAACACAACTGTACATGTTGATCATATCCCCCCTTAATCTCCTCTTCTCAAGAGAGAATAAATTCAGTTCCTCTAATCTTTCCCCATAGCTGATCTCCTCCATGCCTCTTATCAGTTTGGTTGCCCTTCTCTGTACTTTCTCCAAACACTGCTATTGTTTTGAACACAACTGTATCATTTGCCCAACGCCCGGGACATGTAGTTACGGGAGCCGGGCAGGTTGTTTTTCCTTACATTTAGCCCTGCTGCGGACAAGCAGCAGGGCTTGCTTAAGAAAGTGATTGATAAACTCTGGGGCGGACAGGCTACAGTTGTGCACGCTCAGTGTCTGACACTCGTTCACACAGCACACTTCCCCCCCCCTCCCTCCCCGCATAGACAGGAGAGGAGAGTGATTCCGTTTTGCTCCACCTCTTCCCGCCCCTCTCCTCCGTGACTGCCCAGTGGGCTGGAAATTTGAAGATCCATCCAGCTGTATGGTTGCCGATGTCTGAGCCTGCAGAGAGCAGCCTGGGGATGAGCGATTTCTGCATTCGCTTTCCTCAGCTCCTTCCTTTCTCTCCTTTTATCTACCTCCCCCCTCCCTGTTCTTCCAGGAGCTTCACACTTTAGTTTATGTCCAGTTAGCAGCTGAGCTCTGGCTGAAGGGGGCACCCTGCTGAGCTCTGGCTGAAGGGGGCACCCTGCTGAGCTCTGGCTGAAGGGGGCACCCTGCTGAGCTCTGGCTGAAGGGGCACCCTGCTGAGCTCTGGCTGAAGGGGGCACCCCGCCGGACACTGATGTAAAGGGTGACTCTGATGTCCCCGGGTCCGGTGCTGGAGACAGGCAGGGAGGGGAGGAGGAGATAAACAGTGCAATGTTAAAAATATAAAAAATTTAAGTCGCCATTAAACCCTTTTTTTTTTTTTTTTTTTTTTTTTTTTTTTTTTTAAAAGCCCCATACATTGCTAGTATTACCTCCCCATATCACCGCCTAATAAAAAACCTCAACCCTTCATATTTTCCATCCTGGCAGTCATTTCATGGTTTAAAGGGACGGACATCCATTGAAAATCCTTAGTGATAAAACTGTCTCATTCAGTAATGGTATAAAAATAAAGACCTTATTTAAGTACGGTTTTGGTTAAAAAAAAAAAAAAATATTTTTTTTTTTTCATCAAGACAAGTAGATTGTCATGCGGGACAAGTAGTTTGGGACCATGATTTAGTCCCTGGACTAGTAGTTTTTTTAAAACATTTCCACATTCCTGTTATCCCAGAGATCTTTTAACAGTACCTTGCCACCCATATTTGATTGCTTCCATTGCAATCAGTGACTGAATTACTCCAGGAAAGCTGGTTTCGTGCTGAGTTAATCAAAATGACCACAGCTGATCACAACTGAAAGTCAAATGGCTTTGTGTGCCATTGAGAAGGTGATTAGCTATACCTGATGGCGCTTACAAGTCATTCTTATGCAGGCCATAGACGGTTTGTTTATCGACCGATTTTTCGGCCAAAAAACAAAACATTGGTTGTTCTGTTGCTACCAATGTCTGTGAAAATCGTCTGTTTTTTGCAAATTTTCCAGCATGACTAATAAAAGAAATGAGGAGGAACTGCG